CGCCATTAACAGCTCCCCGTTTTTGCGTTTCGATTGGCTGAGGGCTTGCACTTTCCTTCCATTGGCTGAGGGTTTTCCATCGAAAATATATATAAAAGGGACTTTGTGCAGCGACACGTCGCTAACTTGTCTTCAAGTAGAAGGGAACACTTCAGCAGACAGAAGACCACCCCAAATTGAAAATGATCAGCATTCAGCACGTTGGCCTCCTCATTCTCCTGGCGGCGGTCGCTCTTGCTCATGAAGTTGCGAGAGGACAGACATCTGCAGAGGCAGCACAACATCGTGAACTAATGGCGGAAAGGCTGATGCATGACCAGGAGGAAGGCAACGGTGTCTACTCTAGACTTTTGGAAGACAGAAGCCTTATGGACGATGATGCCATGGAGGAGGATCTGGCAGACATCCTTAAACGCTCGCCCCACTTCTGGAAGCGTCACCCAGCCTTCTGGAAACGTTCATCGGCATTCTGGAAACGATCACCAGCATTTTGGAAGCGCAGTAACTTCTGGAAGAGGGCCTCCTTCTGGTAAAGTAATGCCGTCCACCTTTTCTTGTCTATGACACTTCTCAATACCTCTGACTCTTTGCTTAAACAGTGTTAACTTTATGTAAAACATTAAAAATATTTGGTGTTGGCTGCCATATATGCCCTACAGACTTTTCATTCTATAATAGTTTATAAAATGGCAAAAATTTATACGGACGCTGGAAACTTTCGATGACAGCTTATTTTCGTGAAGAGGAATAGTTTGACGAAGCCTATATTTATTGTCTAATGTAAGACTGCGAATTCAAATAGCATGTGACTGGTAACGAAACCCACAGGCGCTGTTTGTAGTACGTATACTTTGTATCTTCATGGCTTTTGAGGAACAGTTAAACGTACCTACCCTAGTACTTTTGACAACGATTATTTGTTTTTATTCAATTTGTTAGTTGAATAAATAGAGCGAACTCGGTTAATGACGCCTACAGCTTGTGACGTGGAAAGGTTTCTAAACAGATCTGCTGGGGGCTCGGATGTCCAGTTTTAGGTGACGATTACTTTTTACTATTATTCACATTTTATTAAATCATACCTTTCAACAAACAAGGAACAACGGAAACGAAAACATACTGAAATTTTTCCCACATTGCCAACAATAAAGCTTCCAAGGGGGATCTACGAATGCAAATGTCATTAATTTGTGTTGGTACAGAAGTTCTGTTTGCAAAAACCGCGATCCCAGTTATGTACTTGACAATTTCCAAGGGTTATTCATCTACATCTGTCTATCCTTAGCGAGTTTTGATGGATTCACCTAATGGGGATAACGCTTGTGAAATAATCTAGATTTTATGGTTAGCAAAAAGGGTAAAAATTAATTAAAGAGTCCCAACCGTATTCCTAAGCATTAGCTTGTAGTTCAGAGATATGCTACATTTGATGCATTATACATGCATGTCGGAATATTAACCAACTGTTTTAATGTCATCTGGATTCATGGCAACGTTTAATGACTCGAAGCAAGGCACTGTCGAATGTGATGAAAATTGAAAGAGTTCCTGCTAAGTTCTTTTTAATTGGTACGTATATTAAACTGGATATTGAGCACCAGATCAGTTGATTTATTGTTCTGAGCTTTCGAACTCTCACAGGAGTCCATCTTCAGAGATGAGAAAGCAACCAAAAAGACGTTAATTATAGTGGCCATAGGACAATTAACGGTAAGAAATAATCAGGTTGTCAAGGGGTTAGAAACAACAGTCGAAAAAAGATGGGGAAGGAGAGCAATTAGCTGTCAGTGGAGGCGGGCGGCAATTATAATGGTGTAAGCTAATTA